AAGATATGGCATTATGTGATAAAACATCAATTATTATCTAATATCACTTATTCCCTTATTCCCAAACTTCCTTTATATTTATTATACTTAATGTTTATAATGTGTATTATAAACACACATTGATTTCAGTTTGTACCAAGACCATATTATAAAATGTTTGTACACAAACACTTTTGTTTACACAACTCTCTCCCTCTAATCTGTAAGATTTAAGATGCCCAAAGATTCAGAGAAGTTTCCTTTAGGAAAATAGATCATAGTGACACTTGAACAAGAAAGGAATCAGTTTTGTGACACCTGTCTCCTAGTTTTCTTCCTTGATCTCTTTTTCTGCCGCTTTCAGACTCTTCTGGTCCTTCAAGTTTCTGTCCTGGGCTCATTTCTTCCTTAGCAGCCACACCCTTATCCATGTTTTTTGTTTCTGGCTATCTTACAGCTCCCAGTCAACAGCACTGATCTCTTTACAAGTTCAGACCTATACATCCACCTTTCTGCTAGATAAGGCCTCCTTATATCCTATAAGCAGGACAAGCCCAACATGTCCACAGATGAACTCATCTGCTTTGTCCCCAGACCAACTCTTCCTGTTTTCCTATCTCAGTGTACCCAAGACCATAGCCTCAGCATCATCTTTGATTCTTACCTAACAGACAAGCCCTATTGATTTTATTTCATCTAGCCTTCCCCTTTTAGCCCAACAGGCACTATCCTAACCCAGGCTTTTATCTTCTCTTATCTGGTTTCTCATTCAACTCTGACTGCTCTACTTCAAGCCTTGGACCTATCAATTACTCCATTTTGATATTCTTTTGTTTGACTCAGTCCTTCTGTTACATTATGACCTCCATGACACAGGGCCTATGTCTGTCTTGTTCATTGTTGTGACCCCAGTTCCTAGGTATTGGCTATAAAATGTACTCCCATGAGTGCTGAATGTACCTTCCAATTACAAAGCTAGAGTGAGTAAAGGTTGTATCAGTTTATCTCTGTCTAATTTTTACAGTAGCAAGTGTTGTCTCTTAAGAATGATGTTTAAAGTATGCTAAGTAACAAATTCATATGAGCATTTATACAATAATGAGCCAAACATACAAGTTATGTGAATCAAGAGTCCTTATCTTGCAAGTCCTTGAATGGGCCTAAGGAAGGTTTGTGAATCCCCTGAAATATATAAAAAATTGTGCATATATCACAAAATGTATGTATGCACATTTTTCTGGAGAGAGGGTCTGTAGCTTTCTTCAGATTCCTAAAAGATCAATAGCCTCAGAAGAATAAGAACCACTAAGGAAAAATAAGGAAATTGTAACGTAGGATGGTACCTTAAGACTACTTTTTTTTTTTTTTTTACTTACTGTACCTTGAGAAGGAATAATGGGTGTAACAGAAAAGATTTCCACAGAACTATAAAGCAAAACATATAACCATTAGAAAAGTAAGCTTCATGATTTACAGTAGTAAAGAATGATTAGCCTTTGGGATTGTAAACTTTAGTGAAAGTTCCAGTAGAATAGAGAAAAAGGCATAATGTACTTGTATGATCTGGATAATATTTGACATACAGTTCCTTCGTTTTTTTCCAATAGTTTTTTGAACCTTTATTTTCTGTTAAACAACCATGTCAGCTGCTGGGTTACAGAGATGAACCAAGGTATAGTCCTTGCCCATAAGTGCTTACAGAATGAGTCTGGGGTGTGCCATGTATGTTCATGTTACAGAAGATAGATACACATGAGTGTTAACAGTAGACAGTCAGAAGGCACTTGAGTGAAGCCATCTGAGAGTTTTTTAAGGGAGAGACCAGCAGTCTTTGTAAGCATCAAGGGACACTATCACATGGCATGGAAGGGTCATCACAAGCCTTTGTCATATTCATATTTTTCTATTTCATTTTTAACAGATACTGACAGGAAACCTACTTTAGAATAATTAAATATTGATTTTATGTTCAGTATATCTTACTATTTTATTTTAACCTTATGAATTTGTATTTCACAGCACCCAGAATTGAGCTGTTATAGATAGTTTTATGAATCTTACTTCTAGACCTCTGCATTCAAACTGATCTTGAGCCTTAATTGGAAAGTAAAGGATTTGGGTTCATTATTTCTGCAGATCTCTTTTGGTTCTTACTGTACAATTTTGTTTTGGGGAGTTTGATTAGAATAGAGTTTGCAGAATTAAGTTGAAGAAAAGTTTCCATAAATATTTTTATAGCATTTCCTCTCCACATAATTGCAAATAGAAACCCCCTGTGGAAATTAGGGAAATGTGTAAATGTTTATAGCAGAAATGTTACCCATAATTACAACAGCTAGAGGCATCTACTGTGTGAATCTACTTGTGCATTACAAAATGGAAACCAAAACTGTATGTATGGTATTCTACTCTCTTCATTTAACATTGGAATGAACATCTTTCTATTTCATTAGATATGACTCAAAATATTATTTATAAGGACATGCTATCCTAATATACAACTAAATTATGTTTTATTTCTCTATTTGCTTATAGGCTATTTCCATTCATTTTTTTCCTATTAAGTCTGAAATTACTGTTCTTATGCATCAGTCTTTGTGCATAACTAATCATTTTTTTTTTCCTAACATCTTTTCCAACATCTCATACTTCATTGAGATTTTGTATTTTAAGTATAAATTATTTCTTTTAAAGCATCTTTTTCCTAAACTTCTTAATTGCTGTCATGCTCTATTATTTTCCTGTTTGTGATAAATAGAGCTTGGAAAAGATCTGAACCTCATCTTCCAAGAAATAACAATACCCCTTTCTTATGCAGTACTCAGTGTTACTTCAAAAGATACGTTCATGTACCAGAGAAAAGTAGAATAAGAAGAGATTAGAGAAGAGTGATAAGTGCTTTGAGAATATGTAGTATTTTATTTGCTGTACGTAATTAAGGAAATTTATAGTTGACAGAATTAGAGTTTAGAAATGCAGACTTTATTTAATGGTAAGTGGAAGATTATTCTCATCAGCATAAAAATCCCTAAGCACTTTCCTATGAGTTGACTAAAACACAGTAAAATGTTTATGTAAACATTTATAGTTTATAGCCTAATTTATGTATCAGGATGAAATGCTTAAAGTATTATTTCCTGATCTTCAAACAATAAGTAAGAAGGCTAATAAGTGCTTACTTTATTTGCCTCATTTAAGATGTACATCCCTTTGTTGACATAAGTGCTTTTTAAAATATCTACATATGATTCTGACATCTTGCTAAGTTGTGTTTGGGATGTGACCCAATGCTTTTCCTTCACCTCATTTTTTTAAATACCATATTGAGATTTTAGGTTATAAATATAAATTGTTCCTTTAAAAATATCTCCCCAAAAAGGAACAACCTAAGACAGGCACAGTCGCAGGGGGGCCATCAGGTGAGAATTTGGGGATCAACAGAGGTGAGGCTCAGAACCTCACCCCCCCTGCTTTGAGAGAAATCTTCTGCATCCGTGGATGTTTTGCTGCCCTTGTCTAGCTTGGATTAATACTTAGTCAATAGGCACACACCTGATCATCTGATCATCTACATTTGCCCTCTTACAGCACTAAACTATGTTTTCTACCTTTATCTTGCATCTACCTACCACTTCAGCATTTTATTAAAAATAAAAATAATAATAATAATAAAGGGAGAAATGTGGGATCAACATATAAATCAAGTACAAAAATCAAACGAATATTCATATTTGACCTGATTGTTTATAGGTCATAATGCCTGATCAAAACCGAAAGTTTCTGTGATGAATGCCCTTGTACTGTTCACCATGTAAGAATTTATTCACTATGTAAGAATTCATTCACCATGAAAAATATCTCCCAAAAAACATTGAGAGATACTTACATTCTATAAATCTGGGTGTAAGAACTCTAAGGACAGTCTACCTGGAAAATGTAAACTGGGGAGACATTCTGCCTGATTTGCCTGTATTTCCATCTCCACCACAGGCCTCAAGTTCTGTCTCTTCTGGCCACAAAAACTCCTGTCCTGAGCCTAGGTAGTAGATGGTACTGGTGAGAATTGAGGGCTGCAGTGAAAATAGATAAATCTCACTGTCATAAATTCTCACCAAATTCACCAAATCTTTGTAATAGCCTTTTTTTAGACAGCTTTGAGATGCAACTTACCTACCATAAAATTCACCCACTAAAGTATACAACTCAGTTATTTTTTTGGCATCTGCAATGAAATTTTAAAAACCAATGATTTCAACAGGATATAGATAAGTTTACTCTTAAGAAATTAAATTTTTTGAGCTTTTACAAGGTGCTGAACACCTATTTTTGTATGAAGTAATTTCATCTTCATAACAAGCACATGAGATAGGTACGGTTATTCCCATTTTACAGATGAAGTAACTGAAGCACAGAGAGGTTCAGTAACTTGCCCAGAATCACACTGTAGTAGAGCTGAGATTCAGACTCAGGCATTCTGGCTCCTGAGGCCTCTCTTCAACTACTGGGTTCCACTACCTACAACAGACAGCTTATTGAAACATTGTGATGCTGCTGGCACCTGAATGGGGTTTTTTATAAAATGCTTCACTTTTTGCAGATAGCCAGATTCTCAACCTGAAATAAGCTGTTTAAGAACACATTTATTCTTAAACTTTAAAGATTTTTTATGTTCCCTAAAATTATGTTTTAAAGCATGGCTATTTTTTTTCTTTTGATCTATTTTATATGTAAGTCAAAAATCCTATCTGTGATTCTTTAAAATGTTTCTTTGTCATGCTTTCATTTTTAACATGTTCTTTAAAAAGTTATCTTCTTCCTTTTATTCTTACAGCACTTCAAGTCTTAGTATAATTGAAACTAAGATTCATTGTTTTAATGTATTTCAGAATTTTATTAACTAGCTTCTGCCTTAAAGTCTGAAATGTGCCATTATGGGTCTTCTTGAACCTTTCTCTTTTCATCCTCCCTATATTCCTAACAGCTGAATTATTTTCTTTTTATTGTTTGTTTTCTTTTTTCAGCAATGCGGCCACTTAGCATGTCTTACAGTTTTGACTTGTCAGGTAAAAAAAAAGCGCTTTCACACCTGACGTTGGTTTTGTGGTTTCTGTGAAATGCATTTCATTCATCTGCTTGTTTCAAACATGTCAAAAAAGAAAACTGAAAGGCTACTTCTAAACTGTGGTTAGTAAAATAAAACAATATGGTTATTTGAAAACAATATAGTTTAAAAAATTAAAGCTACAATAAATCCATTGCCTACCAAGGGATTGTGGAATCACCATTACACCATACCTATGGTTATGGAATGTGGCTGCCCATCCTTAGGGTCACTGTCACTCAACCAACCCTCTTCTAAATGATGTCAAAGTCTAAAACAGAACTTTGCCTTAAGTCAATTGAAAAAAGTCCCAGGAAACAAAGTTTTGACACTTCCTATTTTCTAAAGCATTCAGTTAAGTAGCTAAACTCAAAACGGCTACTTTGCAGGAACACGGCTCCTCATTTAATGGGCAAGAGCTACTTTGATTCCAGGTGCTCCCTGTAGGTAGAGCCTGGTCACAAATGACTCTGAGTGCTGATTAAGAGTACAGAAACACAAAAGCATTAAAATTTGGCTTTGGTTGTCAAAGCATATTTATGTGTCCTGGGTTTATAGTACAGGTTTATCTCTTCCTGTTAACTAAACAGGGATTATTAGTGAAGCAAATAACTATTGATGATTAAATTTTATCTATAAAATCAGCCCCCTTTTTAAATCAAGTTTTTAATCTATACATGAGCAAAATTTTAAAGCCAACTTAACCCCAATAAAATATTTTGCAAGTTAGAAATTTTAATTTTGGAGGCTGCCATTTTGAACTTAAAATGAGGTAAGATGTTGGCACTAATATTTTCTTTTAGAATTTTCTTTTACATGCTATGGAATTATTGGCATACCTTACATATAAATCCATATTTAAAGATCCAGAGAGTTCTAGATCATGTTCCATGAATATTTACTGAATATCTTTCAACTGCTAAACTAGTTCCCAACTGTGTTTTAAATTTCTGTTCATGTTTGTAGGTCTCAGGCATGACTAATATTTGTACTTTCAAAACACTCAAATAAATATTTTACAATCCTCACTATTACTTTTGACTGAACCACTGAAGAGCTTTTTCTGTTTTCTTTATCCACTTGACAATTTTTATTTTATCATTTGCAGAGGAACCTTGTAAAAAAACAATTGGTCTGGAAAACAAACACAGAGATGTTTCAGAACATATGTATTACTGCTTATCTCCAAAAGTTGACAGTATGTATTACAGGAACTTTCTCTCTTCTAAATATCTACCAAAGATGTTTCCATCAGCTGGACTGTATGCGAGTGGTTGGCTACCTAAACACATGGACTATTGGCTAAAATAAATTAGGCACAGGTTGCTGATTTAGACGTTATGAATAGCCACGCACACATTATATTCCAAGCACACATTATATGTAGGTGTCTTTTATGTTCTTATAGGTTCTGATGGGTACTGTGTTGATAAGAAAGTTCTTAGTACTTAACCTCCTTGATGTAAAAGAGAAACAGAAATTTTTTATTTGCTTTCACTGCTTACCATATGCTATAATTTGTTTTGTACCTTAATGTACTTCATGATTTCTACATGCTTCATTATTGATTTCTTGTGCTACTTTTATGTCTTCATGTTTGCATTTTAACTTATCAATTAAAATTAATCAATTACAAATGGAAAAGACTGATCCATTCTCCTAACCTAAATGCAAAGATTGGAATACATTTCTTCTCTAAGTTGGAAAATTAACAAACTAAGGAGTAAATATTTAAACATGCAGTATAGATAATGCCTCAGAACTTAAGTGTAGAATAAGACATCATGAAGTATATTCTGCTGCTTGGATATGTCTTAGAAATATTAATTCTTAGTGGAAAATCTGAATCCATTCAGTGCTAATTAAGGTAAGTATAATTAATTTTTCCACTGCAAATATTAAGTATCTAATCTGTGTTCCAATCATATTTCTTCCAACTAAATAAGACAGCAGCTGGTTATATCAAACATACAAAATTATTACATAAAGTATTTAATATCATGGTCATGCATTTTAGATTCTGAACCTGAAGTGTGTGGCTTCTAAAGCCATATGTAGCATCTTAAATATTTTGCTTACTTATAAATAGTACCAGTTTTTCTCAAATTTTATCTTACATAGAAGTACAAAGTCTTATCCAAGTATTTGGTTTTCTCACTTGATACATTGAAGCAGTAATGGAGATTTAGTCATTTAAGTAGAAAAACATAATCAAAATACTTAAAAATATCTCTTAAAAATAGGTTCAGATGGGTCTCTTATCAGTATTTACCAATAGCTAGTTTGAGCTAACATCACACACAGTATTCACTTGCATATGGTGGAGGTCATCCTGAAGCCTGTTACTTAACATATTTTCTTATTTATTCTATTTATCTCAAAGCTTTGAATTTTGTACCAGGTGTTTATTTCAGTAGTTTCAGTCAGTGAGCTCCAATGAAGTTATCAATCTTATGGCAGTGTTTAGGCAATTAAAGAGCTATTGGGTAATTTCTCAAATACTCTGCATTGAGAATGAAATGAACTCATAACAGCCACTGTCATTTAACAGTATTCTCTGAACTTCAGTTAAGATACCACCTTCATGGTTCTACCATATATGGCTTTTTTAATTTTTCTTAAGCAAAAACATCCATAAAAATCATATGTTTGATCTAGTAGTTACATTTTTTTCTGAAACATTAAAATAAATATATAGCTGTTAAAACTCTTTGCAATGTTCCTCCATGTACTACGAGTGGTTTCACCCCTATGCAAACTCTGACATGGCGGATTGGCAATGGGAGTGCCCGCTCGGGAGCTGCCTGCATTCTTCTCACTGTGCTCCAGTACGGTTAGGCTAAGTTGGAATATGGGTGGCTGAGAGGAGTGAAAGACTTGCAGTACCTGTGTGCTTTCTCTGGAAGGAATGACTACAGTGTGAACAATTCTATATGCAATGCATTAGATAAGATACACTGTAAGATTTTTTTTAATATATTTCATGATTATACAAAACACTACCTTTTTTCTTGAGTAGGAATTAACCATCAGAACAATCATTTCCTCCTTTGCTTTCTGGAAAAATTTAAATTATTATCCTAAGTGTGGCAGCCTACTGCTCTCTGCACCTTCTTATGGAAGATTTGGTCACAGGTTTTAACTTTTAAATTTATGCAAAAGCAGTGATGCTTTTGCCGTTCTGAGCCCTTAGCACACCCCCTCCCTTACATATATATTTATTCCAGCTGTTAATTCCTGGAAAGGTCATAACAAAATAACATGTCAAGTTTTCTTGTAACAACTTGATGTAGAATAATAAATGACTGATGGATAGGTCTGTCTTTTTTCTTTCCCTCCCTCCTTGCTTGTTTACATAGATGTTTTCTAGTTCACAGGACATATTCTCTGGCCTTAAACATAAATTGTAAATATTAGCTATATATCATTTATAATAATTTACATGATTCTCTAAAGGAATGTCATGGAAGGCTTTTCTAGAACATACTTATGTACTGAATGTTTATTGGAAATCCACCTCTTATGCCTCAGGCTTATAAATATTATATGTTGTGGGCATTACAAAAAATAGAGCATTCTTGTATTTTATACCAACTTCAGTCACATTGCTTCCCCTCCTGAAGGAGCTATACTCATGTCTTTTTCATTTTAGCACTTAGCATGCCCTTTACCCCCAACTACAGGCTGATCCATATGCAAAGATTAGTTCATGGTGCTGGTCTACAAATTAAATTAAGCAGTAGCTGCTGCTTCTCTTTTTTATATATATTATATAACTTTTATATATTTTATATAGCTACTTTTAAATACTCTAGTAGTTATTAAACTTAGTCCATGTTTAACACTTCATTTGAAATATTGAAGAAAATTAGTTCCACTTGCTTTAGAAGATTACAGGCTACAGCACAAAAAAGCCTTTAGAATCAATACTAACAGATCTAAGTATGATATCAGTGTGCCACACATAGCTGTGTAACTGGCAAAATCACTCTGAGCTTTAATTTACTTACAAATGGAAATAAAAATCAGTGTTAATAATTACTAACGTTTATTGTGTTCTGTCTTTATTATGCAACATATAAAGTAAATACTTTTTATGCAATTGTTAACTTATTTAATCCTCACAGCAAAGCCCTGTCTTGTTAGCCTCATTTTGTAGGTGAGGGGTTAGGTAACTTGCTTAGGGTCAAACAACTAGCAGCAGTTTTGAACTAGGTTTGAACCCAAACCATCTGCATCTTAACCATATTGTATGTATACTGTTTACCCTGTACTCTGTTTTATATTCTATACTATATATGCTTTATGCTCTAAATACTACATCTCTGTGCTCTGTACTTTCTTTCATTTGTTGTATTGCCTTCCCATTCAGAATTGAGCTCTGAATAATTTAAATCAGCTTTATGAGAGGAATGTATCCCAGATTCTTTGTATTCATGTTTATATGAACAGAAACTATTACTTTAATTTTTAAATAAAACCATTTCCAGATCTCAGCAGCCATATGTCTGATAAGGCTTGTGCATGCCGTCACTTTGATCCATATACCACTTGCTCTTCAGAGTCTATAAAGGGAAACTAGCCTCTCTGGACCTCTGTAAAATAAAGAAGTTGAGCCAGTTATCTGTAGGATTTCTTCCAGCTCTAAATTCTAATCTATAAATGTGACTAGATCATTATTCATTTAAAGGCTTTCTTTAATTAAATCTGACAGTTATCTGGCAAAATGTTTTACATGCATAGGCTTTTATATACATAGTTATAGATAGTTATAAATGTTTTATAAACATTATAAATAGTTGTAAATGTTTTATATACCTAAGTATTGTATCAAGCCTCTATACTATATTTGCATGACATGGAAATGCTGTGTCACCTGGGGTGTGTTTCCAAGTGCACATTCTTAAAAAAGTGTGCTTGATCCACTGATTACCTTTCTTGGCTCATGAAAAGTAAACTTTTTCCTTTCTTTTATCAGATGTATCTGCCCCTGACTCTCCAAAGAACATTGTGGAATCATCAATGGTGAATGGAGGTTTAACATCACAAACAAAAGAAAATGTGGTAAGTGCCGCACAGCAGGTGCCTGTGCAGCGGAAGAAGCTCCTCAAAGCTCCTACTCTGGCTGAACTGGACAGTTCTGACTCTGAGGTGAGGTCCCCTTTCACAAAGCCTGACTCCCAAGTTCAGGATGTTAATACTCTCTGACCTACTTTACTAATCATATTGCTTCTGTTGTTGCTTAATCTCTTCCCATGTTTCAATCAATAAAGTTAGGATTAAAATTCATTTGTTTACAAGAAATGAAAGAGTGGATTACTTAATGTTATTTAGTAAAGACTAAAGTAGTGACCATAGTTTATAGAATAAGTCTTGAAATATACATATAGTCTTAGATTATAGCAGGGTCAACAATTTTCAGATATATTAAGTATCTTGCCTTTGTTTGGGGGAGGGAAAAAAGAAAAACATATTTCCAAAAAATCTTCTGTCCGTAAAATACACATACACACACACACACATCCTGAAGCTTGTTCTTTCTCATACCAACAGACAAGCCTCCAAAAAGAGAACTCTGCTAGTGCTCTTCAGATTTCATCTTTCACCTACTGCCCTTTGAGGAAAAATCTCATTATATCCTCCCAGTTATCAAGAAACAAGAAGGATGCTAATCCTGATGCTTCCCAAATGTCTCTCAAGTTTCTGTCTGCAGTATCAGTATTGTATATCTGCACTGCCTGATCATCAAAATCAACTTACATAAAATAAAAATATATGCTTTCCTTCCTTCTCTCTCACCTTCTGCCAAACCGAACAACATGTACAGCTACCTTCTTCTCTGCTGTTCATTATCTTTGTTACTGGCTCCATCCTCTTCATATTCATCCAAGTTAGAATCTAAGGATTATTCTTTAATTCCCCTCTCATTGTCTCCACCCCTAGTCCAGGCAACACCAGAATAATAATTTTGCTACTGACTGTTATTCAAACATAAGAATAATAAAGAAATATCCTTATACTGGCTGACTTCAATACATAGTCAGTCTGTCTCTCATCTGGCACATCCCACCTCTCTTTTTCCTGGCTTCCCCAATTCCATCTCACACTTAACCCCCAAAGTCTTTGTCACTTCTGCTTGAAACCTTTGGAAGACTCCCTGCCACTTACAGGATGAAGTTCATGTACCCTGATAAGATGTGTAAGAGCCTGTGCACCACTACCAGCCTCACAGTCAACACCTGAGCCGCACTCCCCACAGTCCTCTCTCCCTCACTCTGGGGCCAGTCTGTCCCCTCTGCTGCCTTCTGTTCACCCTTTAACAGTCAGCCTGTGCCTGCTTCTCTTCTCCCTGACACCTAAACCCAGGATCACTCCCTTCTCTGCAGTTCTGTTAACCTTCCCCTCCCTTTTATGTTAACAGTTTGTAATGTAATTACCCCCTTACTGCTCCCTTTCCTGCCAGAGCACAGGCTCCCCGAGAGGAGGGACTGTGCCAGGTTCACTTTGTACCCCAGTTCTCAATACCCAGTAGACACTCAAGGATTTAAATAAATGTATACTAACCTATGAGAACAACAGTTTAAATTAAAAGAGCACTAGCTCTGCACTGTTCAATACAGTAGCTACTAACCACTGTGACTGTTGAGAATTAGATCAGTTTAAAACTCAGTTCAGTCACAGTTCTTAAGTGCTCAGTAACCACACCTGACTGGTATCCACACTGGATGGTGAAACAACAATGCACCCTCACAGAGATTCTTGACAGCACTGGCCTGCAGATGCAGGAGCGTTCCTTCCTGCAGGCCCACCTACCCACTCTTATCTCTTTTCCTAGTTCTTCTCACCTCCTGAAGCAGGACTGCACCAGGCCATGATAAGTTAAATGGGCAGCCTCTACAGTCTTCTTAGATACCCTTTTTTTGAAGATAAGTGCTATCCTCAAATCCAAATCTTGAGGTGATTTGTTAGACACAGTTCTCTTAATCAGAGGGAGGCCATTTTTGCACATCTACCCATCATCAATTAGAATATGAAGCAAGAAGTAAGGTTCAGAAAAGAGAAGTGTTAGAGTCAGGTATTAGCTAACTCTTGACTTTTGTCAGTGACTACTGTTTTCAGCCTGGATGAATCATAGTACATTAGTCAGTGGTAGTACAAATCTCAAATTCATGGAACACAGTGAATGACCTGAGACAAGAGCCTGGAACTAAGCTTATTCCACCCTTCCTCTTCAAGTTAAAATTGATGTTTTTAAGTACTAAGAATAGTCTAGTCAAAGATACTAAACATGGAAATGCCTCATGTTCCTTTTCTTTTTAACTTTCGAATATAGAATTTTAAAAGTTCTAAAATACAATTTTAAAACATCTAAATATGGTCAAACTTGAACATTTAGAAAACACAGAGAAGCAGAAGCCTTTATTTTATATTCTTTAATTGAATTATCATTGATATACAGTCTTATATTTATTTCAAGTATACAACACAGTGGTTCAACAGTTACCATATTATTAAATTGTCACCTGCACTAGTGTGATTACTATCTGTCAACATAGAAAGATGTTACAAAATCATTGGCCATGTTCTCCATGCTGTACTACCATCCCTGTGACCAGTTTATATTATGATTGAGAATTTTGGTGCCTTTTTATCTCCCTTTCCCTTCCCACCTACTCACCCCAACCCCTTCACCATGGTAACCACCAGTCATTTGTCAGTGTCTATGAGTCTACTGCTATTTTGTTCATTTTGTTTTGTTTTGTTCCTAGATTCCACAAATAAGTGAAATCATATGGTATTTGTCTTTCTCTGCCTAGCTTATTTCACTTAGCATAATATCCGCTAGGTCCATACATGTTGCAAATGGCCAGATTTCATTCATTTTTATGGTTGAGTAATATTCTATTGTATATATATCTACCACATCTTTATCCATTCATCTATTGATGGACACTTGGGTTGCTATTATAAGTAATGGGGCAAAAAAACATAGGAGTGTATATATCTTTTTGAATCAGGGATTACAAGAAATGAAAGAGTGGATTACTTAATGTTATTTAGTAAAGACTAAAGTAGTGACCATAGTTTATAGAATAAGTCTTGAAATATACATATAGTCTTAGATTATAGCAGGGTCAACAATTTTCAGATATATTAAGTATCTTGCCTTTGTTTGGGGGAGGGAAAAAAGAAAAACATATTTCCAAAAAATCTTCTGTCCGTAAAATACACATACACACACACACACATCCTGAAGCTTGTTCTTTCTCATACCAACAGACAAGCCTCCAAAAAGAGAACTCTGCTAGTGCTCTTCAGATTTCATCTTTCACCTACTGCCCTTTGAGGAAAAATCTCATTATATCCTCCCAGTTATCAAGAAACAAGAAGGATGCTAATCCTGATGCTTCCCAAATGTCTCTCAAGTTTCTGTCTGCAGTATCAGTATTGTATATCTGCACTGCCTGATCATCAAAATCAACTTACATAAAATAAAAATATATGCTTTCCTTCCTTCTCTCTCACCTTCTGCCAAACCGAACAACATGTACAGCTACCTTCTTCTCTGCTGTTCATTATCTTTGTTACTGGCTCCATCCTCTTCATATTCATCCAAGTTAGAATCTAAGGATTATTCTTTAATTCCCCTCTCATTGTCTCCACCCCTAGTCCAGGCAACACCAGAATAATAATTTTGCTACTGACTGTTATTCAAACATAAGAATAATAAAGAAATATCCTTATACTGGCTGACTTCAATACATAGTCAGTCTGTCTCTCATCTGGCACATCCCACCTCTCTTTTTCCTGGCTTCCCCAATTCCATCTCACACTTAACCCCCAAAGTCTTTGTCACTTCTGCTTGAAACCTTTGGAAGACTCCCTGCCACTTACAGGATGAAGTTCATGTACCCTGATAAGATGTGTAAGAGCCTGTGCACCACTACCAGCCTCACAGTCAACACCTGAGCCGCACTCCCCACAGTCCTCTCTCCCTCACTCTGGGGCCAGTCTGTCCCCTCTGCTGCCTTCTGTTCACCCTTTAACAGTCAGCCTGTGCCTGCTTCTCTTCTCCCTGACACCTAAACCCAGGATCACTCCCTTCTCTGCAGTTCTGTTAACCTTCCCCTCCCTTTTATGTTAACAGTTTGTAATGTAATTACCCCCTTACTGCTCCCTTTCCTGCCAGAGCACAGGCTCCCCGAGAGGAGGGACTGTGCCAGGTTCACTTTGTACCCCAGTTCTCAATACCCAGTAGACACTCAAGGATTTAAATAAATGTATACTAACCTATGAGAACAACAGTTTAAATTAAAAGAGCACTAGCTCTGCACTGTTCAATACAGTAGCTACTAACCACTGTGACTGTTGAGAATTAGATCAGTTTAAAACTCAGTTCAGTCACAGTTCTTAAGTGCTCAGTAACCACACCTGACTGGTATCCACACTGGATGGTGAAACAACAATGCACCCTCACAGAGATTCTTGACAGCACTGGCCTGCAGATGCAGGAGCGTTCCTTCCTGCAGGCCCACCTACCCACTCTTATCTCTTTTCCTAGTTCTTCTCACCTCCTGAAGCAGGACTGCACCAGGCCATGATAAGTTAAATGGGCAGCCTCTACAGTCTTCTTAGATACCCTTTTTTTGAAGATAAGTGCTATCCTCAAATCCAAATCTTGAGGTGATTTGTTAGACACAGTTCTCTTAATCAGAGGGAGGCCATTTTTGCACATCTACCCATCATCAATTAGAATATGAAGCAAGAAGTAAGGTTCAGAAAAGAGAAGTGTTAGAGTCAGGTATTAGCTAACTCTTGACTTTTGTCAGTGACTACTGTTTTCAGCCTGGATGAATCATAGTACATTAGTCAGTGGTAGTACAAATCTCAAATTCATGGAACACAGTGAATGACCTGAGACAAGAGCCTGGAACTAAGCTTATTCCACCCTTCCTCTTCAAGTTAAAATTGATGTTTTTAAGTACTAAGAATAGTCTAGTCAAAGATACTAAACATGGAAATGCCTCATGTTCCTTTTCTTTTTAACTTTCGAATATAGAATTTTAAAAGTTCTAAAATACAATTTTAAAACATCTAAATATGGTCAAACTTGAACATTTAGAAAACACAGAGAAGCAGAAGCCTTTATT